CTTGTTTTAGGAAGATCAGCTGTTCCTCATTTAGCAGCAGTCAGTTGTCAATATTCCTTTAGATAAGATTGGGGTCTGCTGTTCATTTTCCCAGTTCTATGATGGGTTACTACCTGGGAGTCTTTTGGGCCACCCTGGCCAATAACTCAAAGGAAGGTATCTCCTGTCTGGCTTTGTTTCTTGTTAGGTAGCCTTTAGCTATACATATGAACTCTTAAAAAATTATATTGACCCCTTTAATCTTTGGTTATACTTTCCTTTTGGGTGTTTAAGACACTACAGTTGGCCGACATAAACCAATTTATTTTTACTCTTAAGGTCAGTTGAGGATCTGTTTCTCAGAGGGCACATGAGCTTCGGAGGAGCCTTTGGCTCCTTTCTTTTACTAGTTCCGTCTATGGGAAGATAAGTCAAAGGTCCTGCTCGACCATGGCTGGCTTCACTTGGAAGCATGGAGGAAAAGATTCCTCTGTGTTGACCCTCTTCTTTGTAGACTGGACTCTGGTTTGAGTCCATCTTGTTGGGTCTCCATGGCCTCCTTGATCAAGAGGACAGGTGACCCACCACAGTTACAGGTCATTTTGGGAGATGCTCATAGTCCCCTGGAACTCGTCGACTTAGGAGGGCAAGGAGCAAATCTGTCCTTTATGTCCCTCTCACCAAATTAGTATAGGCCTCAAAGTATGGCTGTTAAACATCCAAGAAGGTTAGTTCTACCAGTCTGGTACTTTTAATTACCATATGCCATGTAGATAAAGCTTGGGCAAAGACCAAAAGCTCTCAGATTAACCTTGCCTAGACATATATTCTTTGATCTAGCTGTATGTATAATTTGTCAGTAGGTTGTTGGACTAATATGGTTCCCTCTGGTTTTTTAAAAACTATCTAGGCATTATTTATCTCTTGTATTGTCTAACCCTTCTACCATGGTTTCCCCATTTAAGGTGCCCCCATTTTTCCTATTTCTCCCTTAATAGTACCCTTCTCCTATGGTCCCATCTCTCTTGAGCTCCTTCTTTCCCTTTATCCCCAAGGTTCCTTGTATAACCCTCCCTTCCCCCTTCCCTTGAAATAACCCCCTTTTTATCCCTATGTGGTTCATTTATATGATGGAGTTTTTAGTCTGCAGTAAAGAAAGATGAAATCATGAAATTTTCAGGTAAATGGATGGAACTAGAAACTGTTATACTAAGTGAACACAGACTTAGGAAAAAAAATAATGTATGTTCTCCCTCATATGTGGATCCTAGCACCAAATCCTGATAAATGAGTATGTATATCCAGACATAACTACAGGAACCAAGATAATGACAAGGAACCAGGGAGGTAAAGGAAAAGAAAGAACCTGAAAGAGAAGAACAGTAGGAAACATGCACTTTTTTTCCTCTCTTACTGATGTTGGATTTCTTCAACCTTGTCCTCCATTCCTGCTGATTCTTTGTCCAGCTTGGTTTTGGTGGAGGTGGTGGTAGTGGTGGTTTCTTTGTTTTTGTTTGTTTGGTTGTTTTTTATTTGTTTCATTGAGATTCTCATTTCCAATAATTTTTGTCCCCCCCAAAAAAGTCTCAACTTCCTTGCAAACTTTTCCCCCTTGCTGTCTTTATCATCCACATTGCTGATTTTTCTCTCTGTTCTCCTGACCTTTTCCTGTCTTACTGACTTGTGTTCTCCAGGCCCTAGATGTAGAATTCATCTGCTTGCCTGTGTCCTCTTTAAGATCATGGATCAATTTTAATCGTAAACATTGGAATTTTCATCAAGCATTTTACCTATTACCTCATCTTTTAATTCAGTCATTGAACTGTTAGGATCCTTTAGGTGATTCTTGCTGCCTTGCTATTCAGAGTTTCTTGTTTGAGTTGTGATTTTCAGATCCTTCAGTTTGATTATCTCTTGGTCTTTCCTGGGAATTTACTTACTGAGCAGCCTCCCCTAAAGAAAGACTGCTTTCGGGTGCTTCCTCTCTTCCCCACGGGGGGCCGGAGCTACACCGGGTTTGGCTCTCTTTCCCTCGCTGTTCTGTCTCTGCCTTGGTGCTTTCAGAGCTCTTCATCTTTCTTTGTTCGGTCTTAGCTCTTAGACCGACTCTTCTCAGTGGGGTCCTGGGAAGGCAGCTTCTAGTCTCCCATCTCACCCAGAAGTCCCCCATTAGCAATTCTTAAATTTATATTTTTTTCTGTGGCAAAATTCTACTGTCACCTATCAAGGCAATATAATGTATGTTAACCTTCTCATTTTGGAACTGCTAGAATGATTTTTATCAATTTACTCGCCAGCAAGCCGTGGTTGAGAAGTACTGCTGAATCAGAATTAACCAAACCTATACAGTTTTATTTTGCCTAGGGACATTAGCCCAGCATCATTTGTGGTGTTGTCTTTAATCAGAGCTAAGCTTACTGTATACCTCCTGAGTGCATTTCCCACTGTCTGAGAAGGTAGGTGTTGTCTCAGGCGTCATCCATGAGCTAGTCATCTGTATTTTCCTCCTCCCTTTTCAGTGTATTCATAGATAGTATAAAACGAGAACAAGAATATGTTTACTATTCTTAAGTGTTTTTGTTTCTAACAGAAAAATTTCATGTCGAACTCAGGTTGCTAGGTTTGCCTAAGTGCTTTTAGCCAGAAATTTTTAACATGTGCTTTAAAATGTAAACCGGGTGTGGTGGTGTGCTAACCCAGCCTTTTTCCAGGCCAACTAGGACTATATATGTATTGAGACTCTGTTCCCAAAAACTTTTTTAAAAGGGAGCTGGAGAGAGACCTCAGTGGCTACGAGCACTTGCTGCTTTTGCAGAGGACCCGGTTCCCAACACCCACATGGCAGCTCGCAGCTATCTGTAACTCCAGTGCCAGGGTATATCCTGTGCCCTCTTCTGGCCTACACAGGCACTACATGTACATAATGCACATACATACATACAAGCAGAACAGTTATACACATTAAAAAATTAAAAATCTTTTTTTAAAAAAGCCAATGAGATGGCTCAGCAGGTAAAATGCTTCACAGATCTGATGAGCCAGCTTCAGTCCCCAGAACACCCCAAAAAGCTGGATAGTGTGGATCACCCAAAACTCCTACAGCAAGAGGAGAGGCTGAGGTGGAGAACTCAGCTGGAAGCTTGCAGGACAGCTCGCCCGGAGTATGCAACTTAGTGGCAGAAACAAGAGAGGCACCCAGCAAGGTGGAAGTAGAGAACTGAGTCCTAAAAGTGTCCTCTGACTCCATGTGCACACCATAGCACATGCACCTGTGCACATACAAAGTTTTTTTAAACTTCTAAAGGAAGAATAAAGCAAAAATGAATTGTTGACTTCAGAAGCCATAGTAAGCATGATCCTTTTTATTATTAGTCACCTCCATCGTATATTCAATATATTTTTCAGTCTTAGATTCTCAGACAGTGGGAATATTAAAAAGAAAATACAGAAAGGGAAGAAGTGTATGAGATTTATATATGGTTTTATATAGTCCATTATTTATTATGCCATACTTAGGGTGTGCTGAGTTGTGTTGTGCTAATGGATTTAACCCTCACCACAGTCTTTTGAGTTAAATCCCATTATCCATAGTTTGATAAATGACAAGACACTGAGCATCAGTAATTTGCCTCAGCTTTCACAACTGGATAGTGCCATGGTGGAGAACACCATGGGAGACCCAGGGAGAGCAGCTATGTGGACAAGCTCCATATGCAGCTTTAGAAAGGTGGTTTTATTGTGGGTTTGAAGACAGTATTTAAGAATAGGAGAACTGGCTCAGCAATTAAGAGCATTGACTGCTCTTACAGAGAACCAGAGTTTGGGTTCCCTCATAGAAGATAACAGCTGTCTATAATTCCAGTTCTGGGGGATCTGGCGCCTTCTTCTGGCCTCCACAGGCTTTTCACGCACATCATGATGCACTTAGGTACATGAAAACACTCAAACACAGAAAAAATAGCAGTTAAGAGCACTGGCTGCTCTTGCCAAGGACCCAAGTTCAAATCCCAGCACCCACAGTGCAGCTAACATCTGTCCATAACTACAGTTCCAGGAGACCCAACACCCTCTATGCCCTCTGCAGGCATTGCGTGACATGGGTAGACTTATGTAGGCATAACACTTGTACACATAAAATAAAAATGAATCAAAAAAATTTAAGGTATTTCATAAAAGTAGCTCTCTGTAGTTTTGTGAGGAGTATGAGGTGTTTTGTTTTGTTTTGTTTTAATAGAGTGTCACTATGTAGCCCTGGCTAGTCTGGAACTTGCTATGTAGACCAGGCTGGCTTCAAACTTACAGAAATCCATCTGCCTTTGCCTCAGGTGCTGGGATTAAAGACATGTGCCACCACCACCACCACCCCAAATGAAGTAACTTTTTACTAAAGATGACTTCATGAGCTGTTTTCCATTGTAATCTTTGTATAAACGGAATTGGATTTAAAATTAGGATGTGAGGGCTGGAGATATGGCTCAGCAGTTAAGAGCACTGGCTGTTTTTCCAGAGGACTCAGATTTGATTCCCAGCATCCACTAGGTGGCTAACAACTATAACTCCAGTTCCAGGGGAATCCAGCACCTTCTTCTGACCTCTATAGACATTGCACAGGTACACTTATATACATTCAGGCAATGCATTCATAACACATAAAATAAAAATAATAAATAATATTTTTTAAAATGCAATAAAGGGGCTGGAGAGATGGTTCAGTGGTTAAGAGCACTGCTCTTGCAGAGGGCCTGGGTTTGATTCTCAGCACGTTCATGACAGCTAACAACTATCTGTGACTCCAGTTCCAGGGGCATCCGATGCTTTCTTCTGATCTCCAGGGCATTGCACAGCATGGGTGCACTTATGTACATGCAAGCAATACACTCATACACATAAAATAATTTAAAAAGTACATAAATTATTTTAAAGTAAAATTAGGATGTGATTCATTCTTTCACATCGTGATGTCCATAATTGATGACTAGCTTTCTTTTCCTTAACCTTTTAGGCTGATTCTGCACTTTAGTGTGTGTGCTCCCCCCGCCCCCCCCAATTACTGAAATGTACCCGAATGAACATAGTAAAAGGAAAAATTTATCCTACTGTTATGTGAGCAGCCGTAGCAATAACCTCTAATTAACGCACAGTTTTTTTCTCCTTTAGAAATTTCACTGTATATTCTAGAAATGAAGGGGAGTTTAAGACTGTTTTGTTTTGAGGTAGAATCTGGGCTGATCCTCTTGCTTCAACTTCCCAAGTGCTAGGATTACAGTCATGTGCCACCTGACCATGTGCCGCCTTGTTTGGCTAGTTTGTGACATTTTTTTAAATAGGCAGCAAGCGTAATAGAGTCATTTCCTATTTGTAGTTCTTTTCATTCATGGGTTCATCAGCCTGGTACATAACTTTGTCAGCTTGTCTTATGAGTGATACGTATCAGCTTTCCCACACATCTCCGCCCCAAGCAGCAATAAATAACAGGAATCTGGGCAGTGTTGCAGTTATGTTGTATCCTTTTTCTAGGTGAAGTGTATATGCTTTGTGGATCTGTAATTCATGACTCAGCTTCAGTATGTATCTCAGTTACCGGCAAAGCAAGCCTAAAGTCTCATAGCTTTTAAGTCGCACAATTTTTATGGCATAGTTGAAAATAGTTTTTCACATATATGTGTTTATTTAACATGTTTTTGTCGTCTGCCACCACTACTCTTAGCACCATCATAGAACTTGGCCATATACTGGGGAAAGGAAGAAAGACAACTGAGGCTTGTTTAGTAGAGGAAGTGACGAAGTTCTTAAGGAAGAAAATTTTAATCACGTGTTCCATTGTCTCTTAGATGAGAAAGAGGAGGGCATTCTGGGAAGCATCTTATTACCTAGTTTCCAGATAGCCATGCTTAGTGCAGAGGACCACATTAACCGCAAATACGCATTCAAGGTAAGAGAGCATACTGTTGGATTCTGTGTTTGAAACTTATAAAACAAATCTTGACCAGTAGATTATTGTAAAAAGATAGTTTCAGATATGGTGATGTTTATATTTAAAGTTTATTAGTTAGTGTTATTGTGGTTGTGCCATAGACTGTTGTCCTTGTCAGGACATGCTAAAATACTCAGGACATGCTAAAATACTCAGGACACTGCCGTCTTCGTGCGTGTTTTCAAGTGGTTCTCTATAAAGCAAGCACAACAGAATGTAGAGAGATGACTGTAGCCTACATGTCTTGGTGATACTTGCACTGCTCTTTCAAGGTCACTCTATGTTTGTGTTTTGTCAGACAAAATTTATAGGAAGAGTATTATGGAAAAGAGCTCTTCAGCATAATATAGTGCATTCATGAATGTATAGGATAATTACAAGGGTAGTCTCAAATCTAAGGGCATTATGGATATCAAATACTTTGCAGAGAATATTAAAGTTGCAGTGCTCAATCTGCCACTGTTAAGCACAAGCCAACTGGTGACCCCTCCTGTGAGCATATCCACCCACTCACCTTTGTGCTATTGCTGGTTGTGAGAGTCTACTTTAATACTGACTTAATAAATTTCTGCTTTTGTCAAAAACCTTGCTGCTTCTTTGCTTTAAGATTATGGTTAAGGGGGCTAGAGAGCTGGCTCAGCACCTAAGAACACAGGCTGTTCTTGCAGAGGACCTGGGTTTGGTTCCCAGCACCCACATGTAGGCTAACAACCATCTGTAACTCCAGTTCCAGGAGATCTGACACCCTCTTCAGGCCTTTGAAGGCATTGCACATCTGTGGTATACTTACATGCACAGAAAACACACACATATATTTTTTTTTAATTTATGATTATGGTTAAAATAAAGGACTTTCTTTTTTCCTGGTCACTTTTTTTTTTTTTTTTTAGCAAGTACAAAAATTATAAAAGGTCTAATGTAAAAATTTCATTTTAAGGGGAAGGGTTCAAATAAAGATAAGATGCTGTTCTTTATCAGTGAAATGTTCTTGCCCTTACATACATGCAGCCAATACACGCATACACCTAAAATAAAAATAATAAAATATTAAGAAACAAAACAAAAAAATGTATCCAGTTTTAAACACCCACTTTTAAAGAACACCCAGAACTGCAACTAATTCATGCATTACGTTATAAATTAATTAATGCTAATTAATGCACTGCATTGTAAACCATGAAGATAAAAGTGGAGGAAGGCTAGGGAGGGTTTCAGCAGATTGAGAGGCAGTATTAGTGCGTAGGCCTGAGGATGAAGGGGAAGAAGCTAAGTGAGGCGGATGCGGTCACCTCATCCTCAGTAGGAAACCTGCAGGTGGGGGTGTTCTGAGATGTGATCAGTTGGAATACTGGTAACTTAAAGAACTTTATTAACTATATATCTAGAACTGTGTAATATCAGCACCCACTTGGCTATAAGTTTAAATGTTTTTATTTGGCTGTAAATTTAGCAAATATTTGTTGAATTTGCTCTGTTTTAAGAACATTTTGCCTAACTCTTAGACTCTGAAAAAACATTGCAATTTAAAATAAAATTCTGCAGTGTTAAAATAGCAACAAGAGTTCTTGTACCTCTGACAATAGTAATTCTGTTTCAACTTCTCTCTTCTGTGGTTTTCCCCTTGAATTTCTGAGCTGCTTTATGACTGCATCTGTTGACTTTGATTCTTCTGCTTATCAACATGGTAAGTAGGAACTTCACTGTTAAACTGAACACAAGCATAGACTATGTTCAGCTAAGTGGGTCTTGATGGCATCCAGTAAATGTTTCCCTTGAACAAATGGCAAGTGTGGGTAGCTTTGCTTGTGTCTGACTCGTGGCCAGAACTGGGTCTTCTTACTGCCAACCTAGGGTTCCCACCACTGATCACGGAGGTGGGCAGTGGTCTTCTCCATTTTTCCAAAACCCCACTCAGAGATCCAATGACATTTTGGTGGTTTAAACATTTTAATAACACAGAACATTTGGGTTTTCTCTTACATTGTTTGCATTTGGTTATCTCATACCTAGCCAAGTGAGATTTGTTAGTTGTCATTATTTTGATGACTGTATTTACTGAATATATATGCATCCTAAAAAAGTGTTTTAACCTAGGCATACCTTTAATCCCAGCACTCAGGAGGCAGAGGCAGGAGGAACTCTTAAGATCGAGGCCAGCCTGGTCAACATAGGGTTCCAGGCCAGCTGGGGCTACAGGGAGACCCTGCCTCAAAAAGACAAGACAAAAAATATGTGTACTTGTCCATGTGTGTGTGTATGTGTATTTTATTTATTTATTTATTTATTTACTTATTTACTTATTTTAATTTTGTGTGTATGAGTTTTATGCCTGCATGTGTGTAAGTGTACCCATATCATGCAGTGCCCATGGAGGACAGAAGAGGGCTTCAGGTCCCCCAGAATGGAACTGAAGTTATAGATGGTTATTAGCTGCCATGTGGGTACTGGGATTCAAACCTGGGCCTTCTGTAAGAACAGCCAGTGCTCTTAACCACTGAGCCATCTCTCCAGCCCCCATGTATGTAGTTTTTTAGAAGTTAATTTGACCCTGTGGATAAAGCAGGTAATAAAATCTTGAAGTACAGTGTTTGGTTCCAGATTTGGTTGCCTCGTTTTTTACTGTTTGGTAGACCAACTACTTAGTACCCTCCTCCTCCCCTTACCAAGGCTGAAATAGCCTTTGTTTTTTGTTTGTTTTGTTTTTGCTTTGTCTTTGAATATCTAATAGGAAGTGACCTACAAGCATCTTTAAATGGAAATCAGGAATGTTCCCTCATTCCTGACCTTGACTTTCTTCCTCCTTCCAGACAACTACTGTTGTGCCTGCCTTTTCATGTCCCATTGGACTTAGGATGAGTGTTCAGTGCTCATCCCTGTGTTGCAGTCTCTCACCATAAAGAAAAACCTACTCATCATTTACATCCCCTCACACCACAGATGCAAACATTTTAACTTTGAAACATGCAAAGAAAACTAATAGGAAATACCATTTTTAATCATTTGTAAATTTAAGTGTAGATATCTATATAATACTTTAACAGGAACACCTTTTAAAGACTAAAGAAATTTCTAACAGATGGGGAAAATGCTTGGCATGGACTTTTCAATTGTGTTGCTGATTGCTCTAAAACTTATCCTTCTTTGTTAATTTTGTTTTCTTTTGTTCTCTTTTCCGTTACAGGGCCTCCACTCTGTAGTTCATACTGTCTTAGAACTCACTGTGTAGTTTGGGTTGGCCTCAAAGTCATGGCAATCCACCTGCTGTAGCCTCCCAAGTGCTGGGATTACAGGCATGACTCCCCATGACTGACTAGAAACATTACTTTTGAATGAAACAAGTATGGATTGCAGTAAATTTAAATTAGTTGAGCTGGGTATGGTGGCGCTTGCCCTTAATCCCACCACTTGGGAGGCAGAGGCAGACAGATCTCTGTGAGTTCAAGGCCAGCCTGGTCTATATAGCGGTTCCAGGCCAGCTGGGGCTACAGGGAAACCCTGTCTCAAAAAGACAAATTAATTAATTAATTAATTAATTAATTAAGTTAGAGTTGAGGAAATGGGACAGGCGTCACAGTTTTATTTTGCACGTATTTCCTAGAGCACATCTTTTTGTACAAGGAGTCTATGCAACTGAAGAAACATGAGAATGATTAGTGCTCCATCCTTTTCCAGATCCGTACTTAGGTTTTTAAAGTCATCTCTGTATCTTACATAAAAACCAAGGCTGCTTTCACTGAAATTTGGTAGTAATGATTTAGGTAAAGACCATTTCTTTCTTCTTCTTTTTCAGAATCCCCTGTTATGATAAAATTATCGTGTCATTTTCAATCAGGCAGCCCATCCAAACATGCGGACCTATTATTTCTGCACTGATACAGGAAAGGAAATGGAGTTGTGGATGAAAGCCATGTTAGATGCTGCCCTGGTACAAACAGAGCCTGTGAAAAGGTAAAGCCTTGTGGGGAGAACGACAGTGGCTCCCACTTTCATTCTACTCCGTGTCCTGCAAGTGCCACCTCATAGTGCATTCCATTTTAATAGTTGTGCAAAGTCGGTTTTCTCTCAGCAGTGTTAGCCCATGCCACATAGTCAGTGAGTCTGCTTTTGTTAAAGATGCCACCTGCTTTTTTATTTCGCCTTTTCTCCCGACTCATTTTTACCTGTCAGTGTACTGAGGTGAATCTAGCATCCTAATATTCAAACTGAATGTTCTTTCTTCTTACAGAATTACCTTTAATTTCCGGTAAGTACTTTTTTTATTATTATCTTAAAGTTACACAGATTTTTGTTCTTCATGAGAGTATTTTTTTAAAGATCCTAAGTCTTAGAATTTATTTTCATGTAGCTAATTTCATTGTGTTTTTACTTTGTATTTATATTTTGGAAATAAATAAATAACAAAAAGAAATTTTATTTCATTAGCATTTTCTGGTCAGTTTTAATAATTTAATGATGAACAACTCTAGACAATAGTTCATAAAACATTTATATTCTTTTCTAAATATATTTGCTGCTTTTTTTTTTCTCTCTGTTTTTAACCCCAGCTAGCCTGGAACTCGCTATGTAGGCCAGGCTATCCTTGATCTCATAGAGATCCACCTGCCTCATATCTCGTGGAGTGCTGGGATTAAAGGCATGCACCACCATGCTTGGCTATGTATCTACTGCCTTCTTTTAAAACTCTAATACTTAACTAAGAGTAATTTGCGTGCTTCCCTATAAGAAGAAACTGTCGTGTTAATATTCCTCAGCTATATTGAGGGATATTAGACTACTTGGCATAGTAATAGACACACATTTTTTTTAACATTTATTTGTGTGTGTGTCCATCCAGAAGATAACTTGCAGAAGCCAGTTTTCTTCCTTACTTTATACTTCATTTCATAAATACAGCGAGATAGTTTGTTTGCTTGATATATAAGTAATAGGCTCCTTCAAATATGCACCAGGACATACCACCTAAAAAAAAAAAACAAAAACTGCCAGGATTTTTTTTTCTTGGGGTGGAGGGTGCTGGTTATTGGACCTCATACTATAAAGTATTCATCCATGAGCTATACTGTTATAGTCTCTTGGAGTGTGTATGCTTAATTATGTTTAAAAAGTAAGTAGCGCCAGGCATGGTGGTGCACGCCTTTAATCACAGCACTCGGAGGCAGAGGCAGGCGAATCTCTGTGAGTTCAAGGCCAGCCTGGTCTACATAGTGAATTCCAGGACAGCTGGGGCTACAGGGAGACCCTGTCTCAAAAAGACCAAAAAAAAAGTAAGTAGCCATGTGTGGTTGGCACTTGCTTTTAGTACCAGCACTGGGGAGGAGAGGCAGAGACAGGTAGATGTTTGTGAGATTGAGGACAGCCTGGTCTACATACAAGTTCCAGGCCATCCAGGGCTTCAGGAGGATCATATCTCAAATAAACAAAAAATCAAAGGAGGGCTGGAGAGAGGGCTATGGGTTAAGAGCACTGACTGCTCTTACAGAAGAACCAGGTTTGGTTTTCAGCGCCTACATGGTGGCTAACAACCATCCCAGTTCCGGGGGGTCCAACGCCCTCTTCTGACATCAAGGGCTTTGTACAACATGAGTGCACTTAGTATACATGCAAACAAAACATTCGTACACATAAAATAAAAATAAATAAATCTAAAAAATTAAAACATAAAAAGTCTTAAGTATGATGTACTTTCTCTGAATAATTTTTATCTCTAGTCACATTGTTTTCATTTGTATAATTTCAGTGTGTTTTCTTTCTCTCTGTGTGTGTGTGTGTGTGTGTGTTTGTGATTGTGTTTGTGTGTTGCTAGGAACTTAGCCCATGGTGTCACACATGCTAGGCAAGCATGCTATCTCTCTCACCAAACTTTATTTCTACCCCTGTATTTTTATTGTCATTTGACAAGCATTAATTATGCATATTACTGTATGTACAGTAATTATACATGTGACACTTCACATGTATACAGTGTGCAATGATCTGATCCGGGTAATTGGCATAGCTATCATCTCAGATTTTGATCATTTCATTGTTCTGGGAACATTCATCTCTGTATTACTTATTTCGAAAAATTATTGTCAATCATAGTTACCTAACTAGAGTACTGAGCATTAGAAATTTCCCCTATCTAGCTGTACCCTTTATGATTGTCTGTCCTCTCTATCTGTCCCTCCGCCATACTCTCCCCCAGCCCTGGTAAGCGCTTTCTATTATCTGCTTCTTGGAGGTCAGGTTATCTATATAAGATGATATGATGGGGGCTAGAGAGTTGGCTCAGTGGTTAAGAGCACTAGCTGCTCTTGCAGAGGACCCAAATTTGATTATGGCATGTGGGACCAGCAGGCTATGCGAACATCAGTGATGTCTGCAGTTCGACTTGGTTTCAATATATTTTATAAAATTTAGAATCACATGTGGGGCTGGTGAGATGGCTCAGTGGTTAAGAGCACTTGCTGCTCTTGCAGAAGACATGGTTTGGTTCCCAGCACCCCCAAGACAGCTAACAACAGTCTGTAACTCCAGTTCACAGGGAAATCTAACACCTTCTGACCTCCAGGGCCATTGCACAACATGGGTGTATTTACATATATGCAGGCAATACACTCATACATAAAATAATAACTAAAAGTACTTTTTAAAAAGAAGATACGATGCTTGTCTTTCTGGGTCATGTTTATTTCACTAACATATTGATCTCCAGAATATCTATGTTGCTACATAAGACAGTTCATCATTTCATCATTCGTGTGTGTGTGTGTGTGTGTGTGTGTGTGTGTGTATGTGATTCATCCACCACTGGTTCACACCTGAGTTGACCTATCTTGGCCTCTGTGAAGATTGTTTGTTATGCCACCATAAGCATGCAAGTGCAGATGTTTCTTGGACATACTGATTTCATTTCCTTTGGGTAGATTCCCAATAGTAGGCTTGCCGGATCATAATGCATTTCTTTTTGTTTCTTTTTTTGAGACAGGATCTCATGCAGCCCACACTGGCCTAAACTGTATTATTGAAGGATGACCTTGAACCCCTGATCCTCCTGATTCCATTTCTCAAATGTGGGGTTATAGGCATATGCCAACACGACCAACTTCTTATAGCAGTTCTATTTCTAGGTGTTTTGTGTTTTTGTCTTTTTGAGACAAGGTCGCCCTGTAGCCACCACTGACCTGGTATTCACTATATAGACCATCAGGTCTCCATTTCAAAATGGCCAAACTAGATTTTCTGTTTCTTTTCTATAATAATTTTAAATATCACTTTTTAAAATTAGATGACAAGTTTATCTTTATTTATGTTACCATAATTTTCTGAGTCATTTTTGTTCCATTTAGAGAAAGTGATTATATGTCTTTATTATGTTTCTTCTATGCTGAATCATGGGGAAAAAAAAACAGGGAAAGCATTGCAGTTCTAGGTTTTTGTTTGTTTATTTTGTTTTTGAAAAATTTATTGAATTTTTATGTATTTCATACAGAATATCTTAACTTTATGGCACCTGCCCATTCCTCCCCCCAACACGATTTTATACATACTGTCATTTGTGTTAAGGCCTATCATGTCAAGTTAGTGTCCCCAGATGCCCCTCAGTGCCCAATTTAGTCGCTCTCAGGCAGTCTGCAAAGGTCTAGACCCCTATTAAAGGGCAGATAACCTAGCCCCGGAGCAGTGGGAGGGGCTTCCCAGTGTAGGGTGTGCGCACAGCTAGATTTGGGGACGCTCACCACCTAGCTCCATGAGGCCGGTTTCAGGCGCTTGCATTCAGCATTAAACAGCCTCTCCCTGAAAACTGAGCAAAGACCATTGACCTTTTGGTATAAATTTCTGGCTAATTTCCTGTTTGAAGAAGGGGCTCCATAGCCTGTCTTTGCAAACCTTTCCAGTGTCTGATTTTGTTTCTGATCTGCGAGCTACACTTCCTATCTAATTTAAATAATATGTGTAGTCTTTAGGTTTACTCTAAGAAGTCACATTTTCCCTTTTCCCTCAATGTCCCTATTCCTAACTTTCTGTAGGTAGCTATATTTCTTCATTTAGAGTTGATGTAGGGGCTGGAGAGATGACTCAGTGGTTAAGAGCATTTGCTGCTCTTATGGAAGGCCCGGGTTCAGTTCCCAGCACCCACATCATGGCTCACAGCTATCTGTAACTCCAAATCCAGGGGTTCAAGGCCCTCCTCTGGCTTTTGCAGGCACCAGCTATGCACATGGTATACATACATACATATGTACAAATAAACATACAGGCAAAACACTCATACACATAAAATTTAAATAAGTTGAATATAGGTGCATGTATGTGAAGATATACATGTGTGTGCTTTCTTCATATCACAAAACTCAGTTACAATACCACACTTAGGGTCTAACAGTAGTTGTATTGCAGTGTACTAAGATGTGGAAGGCTGGCCGCTTCCCCTCTGTTCTTCCTGAATGGGATGGTCTTGGCAGTTTTATGCAGGTTCATAAACTTGGCTGATCTTTTCAGGACCTGGATACAATTGGCTCAGGAAAACAGGCTCGTCAGAAAGACCTAGCTATAGCAGCTGGAATTGAGTAGCAAATTTTCCAGTGCCCAACACTTAGTTAACATTTTCTAATGTTGGGCACTGGGACTCTAATCCAAAAATGCTCAGAGATGAAACAGTGAAGGCCATGAAGACCATGCCAGGTACTGACTAACTCATCTCGTTCTCAGAGCTGCTCTGACTTAGTGGCTAAATTATACTGTTTACAAAAGGGAAATCGAGGCACCATAAGTTTCTGTACCCTACCCAAAGATAGAGCAGGTAGAGGTAGAGGTGCCCATTGGACGAAGGTGGTCCAGCTGTAAGAGCTCCTAAACCATGCTCAGTCTGCAGTGCCTCACACCTATAATCCCAGCACTTAACAGGCAAAGACAGGAGGATCAATTTTAAGTTTTAGACCAGCCTAGGCTACATAGTGACATTGTCTCAAAACAATAAATGAAAGTTTTTATAAATAAAATTTTTTGTAAATACTAATATACTTTAATTAAAAATTTAAAAATAATAAAGCCATACATAGATCCTCTTATATACAGTTAGTCATATGGTTCAACTCTTTCCTGTTGTAGACATTTCCACAGCCAGACTCATGTTTGTCTCGTGATGGTTGAGAACTACATGTTGATTTTAGTTGACTACTACAGTCTTTAAGTGTGGTTTTTGTGGTTTAGGTTTTAAAGAAAAATCACTTTTGCTGTGTTTCCAGATCTCTGGCAAAGGCATACATTACTGCTTATGCTCCTGTAGTTTTTACCTGTCACTGTCTTCTTCTTTCTCTTTTCATACATTCTAGGATTACAGTTGGATGTTAATGCCAACAGCTCTGAGGATTTGGGCCGAACTGTGCTCTGTGACTTCTTGTTGGCTGGTTTGCTTGTTCTCCTGAAGTCAAATTTGTCCTAGGATGAATCTAAGGTATACTACATGTTTACTTTGTATCATTTACTATGATTTTCTTCTCTACTTTCAGAGTGGACAAGATATCAAATGAAAGTGCATCAACTAAAGAAACCAATAACATTCCCAATCACAGAGTTCTAATTAAACCAGAAGTCCAAAACAATCAAAAAAACAAGGAAATAAGCAAGATTGAAGAAAAAAAGGCCTTAGAAGCTGAAAAGTATGGCTTTCAAAAGGATGGTCAAGATAGACCTTTAACAAAAATCAACAGTGTAAAATTGAACTCTCTGCCATCTGAATATGAGAGTGGGTCTGCATGCCTACCTCAGACTATGCACTACAGACCCGTCAATGTGAATAGTTCAGAAAGCAAAACAGTGAATGTCAGCTTGGCAGATATCAGGGGTGGAAATCACCCAAATGTAGGGCCCTTACCCACAGAGGCTGATCGAGTCATTCAAAGAACCAATTCAATGCAGCAGCTGGAGCAGTGGATTAAAATCCAGAAGGGAAGAGGTCTTGAAGAAGAAACCCGGGGGTAAGTGTCTTGTCATTACAGACCCAGCTTCTTGGATGCTATGGTTGGGAGAGGTTGGTCTCAGTTACGATACTGGTTTGAAGTGTGTCTTAGATTTCACAGCTTCCTTACTGTGTCTTGTTATGATCATTTGTAAGTGTTTTCTCTATCTCAGTGTTCTGTTACTAGCCTTGCTGGTAGTAAAAGGTCATCCTTCCTGGCCCATTACAAAGGAAGGCTGAAACTGGAGGGAAGAGACCAAGTTTTAGGGAGATGAAGAAGGAGTCTGTCCTCTCCCCTTCATCCTGTCTTCCCAAACCTTATCTCCTCCTAGAATTCTGAACTATGACTAGCCATGAAGATGTGTCCCAATCCCACCCTGATATAACACTTCCATTAGTAGCCACTCCAGCCTAGTTCACTCAAGGAGCTCCTTAGACAACTGATGTGGGAACTGTGTGTGATGCACATGTGTAACCTCAGCACTTGGGAATAGAGGCAGAAGAATCAGGTGTTCAAGGCCAGCCTGGGCTACATAGTGAAAGCTTGTCCCAAAACAAAACAAAACATCATGATGAGGCTAGGGACATAGGACAGTAGTAGAGTGCATACCCAACGTTTGATGCCTAGCATGACAAAGAAAGGAAAAGGAAGAAAGGTCACTCTGATTTTACAATCTAATGATGTGGAGAGGGGCTAGAGAGATGACTCAGTGCTTGAAAGCATTGACTGCTCTTGCAGAGGACCTGAGTTTGATTCCCAGCACCCACATGGCAGCTAACAACTGTCTGAAACTCCAGTTCTAAGGGACCTGACTCCCTTTTCTGACCTCCACAGCCATTGCAGGACACGGGTGCATTTACTTGCATGTAGGCAGTGCACTCACACACATTAAAAATATGTATGATAAAAAGTAAAATATAAAAATAATAAAATCTTTTTAAAGATGTGAAGAAGTTTCGAAGTGAAGTGAGAAGAAGGGGCATGGCCCTCCATGTGCCTGTGAGTGCGTCTCCACAGAGCAGACTGCACGTGAATGCAGTTTAGAGTCTTATTGGTATAGCAGAAGTGGTTAAAAATCCACGTGAAGATAGATAAATTCATTCCCTGGGGAGGTAGATTCTAAGGGAAAAAACCTGAAAAGTGGCAGGTATGGCAGTACATTCCTGCTGTAACCCCAGCACTCAGGAGGTTAAATGGACAGTTTGAGGCCAGCCAGGCTGCATAGTAAGACCCTGTCTCAACTTTAAACAAAAGGAGAGAGGGCCTAGAAGAAAGAACCTCTAAAGCATGAGAGATAGAGGAGCTTGCAGTATATGCTGAAGAAGCCTCTAGGTGAGAAAATGGTATATTGAGAATTTCATGCACAGAAGGTGTTTTGATCAAATCCATGCCCACTCCCTCCCCTCCAACTCCTCCCATATCGCCCCATCATTTTTTTCTGATAACTTCATGTACTCTTTCTTCTTCTTTGATTTATTTTATTTTATAAAGCTTTTGGCTACTCTAACATTCCCCCCCTCTTTTAAGGATTAAATAAAAGTTGCCAAATATTTTCAACATTTTTGGCCTTTGGAACAGAATATGCTGCTAAGAGGCCCAAGGACATTGTGAGTTTTAGCCAAGAAACTGGCTACTTTTCTTTGGGGTCTTTTTACCCTAACTGCCTAGCCAATTCCTATCTCCTATTCTTATCACACCATCCTCTAAAGGGGTTACCCAAATTGCCAATAGGGAATAGGGACACAGACCGCTCTGGCTTCTTCCATGCTGAACAGGGATACAGGGTGAGGCAACTGGAATACCCCTTCAGTGGGTCTATCTAAAAGACTCCCAAATTGCATAACTCTTATCTGAAGGAGGAAAAGAAAGTCTTGGAATCGTGAATAGGAGATGTGAAGAAGTAAAGGCAAGAGTAACTAGCATTACAAATTCTAGACAGGGAACTAGAAAAAAGTCAGAACAGGGCAATTTTCAAATGTTCACATGAATGAGAGTCCATTGGAATTTCTTGACAAGGGCTTCCAAAAGCATCCCTTTATTGGGTTCCTGCTCATTTTTCTTTTGTCTTCCAAGGCTGCACTCTAGAATGATCGATTCAGGATTTGGTTTCAGGAAAATGGTATATTTCAAAAAAATTTTAATCCGGGTGTGGTGATGCATCCTTGTTAATCCCAGCACTCTGGAGGCGGAGACAAGAGCATTGCCAGGAGTTCAAGGTCAGCCCAAGCTGGTACACAGTGAGTGGTAAACTAGCCAGGGCTACATAATGAAACCCCATCTGAGAAAAGTAAATAAAATTGTTAAAATAAAATTTAGGACTAGAGGTTTAGCTTAGTGGTAGAGCTCTTGTCTGCTACGCACAAGGCATAGATTTGATTCCTAACTTTACAAATCATCAAACTTGGAGCTGGAGAGATGGCTCAGCGGTTAAGAGCACTGACTGCTCTTGCAGAGGACCCAGGTTTGATTCCCAGAACCCACATAGTGGCTACGAACCATCCTTAACTCCAGTTCCAGGAGAATCCGAAGCCCTCTTCTGACCTCCGCAGCACTGCACGACATGGGTGCACTCACATGCATGCAGGCAATACACTCATACACATAAAAATAAGAATAATAAAAAAAAATTTTAAATCAACAAACTTTAGATTTCTAAAAGTATTTATGTTTGTCTACATTAAAATGTGTTACTCCTGAATAGTAGAAACAGAAAGCTGTGACTTCTGTGATGTTTGGCATTTCTAATTGAACGAGGATTGCTGACTGGTGATACTTCTGTGGTGGGTCTTCCCAAGGGAGAGTTGTGAGAAATACTTATTTCAGATCTGTAAATTGGAGGGCTCTATTGTACAATATAGTGATTGAGTTGTAAAAGTATAGTTAAAAATTGGCAAGACAATTTTTTTTTTCTTTTGAGACCATGTAGCCCTGGCTAGCCTAGAACTTTCTATGTAGACCAGGCTAGTCTTGAACTCACAGAGATCCACCTGCGTCTGCCTCCTGAGTGCTGGAGTAAAGGTGTGCAACCTGTCCCTCAAGACAGATTTTTAAATGTCATCATTCCAAAAGTTATGTGCCAAACTGCATATATTAATTAGGTTGATTAGCAATTCCACAGTGCATATATATTTCAGAATATGTTATACACTATGTGTATTTTTGTCAGTTTCTTTAAAATGAAAAAATATATTTGAAAAAAGTGAATAAATGCTCAAATTTGCCAGTTGTCAGGGAATTGCACATTAAAGAAACCATGAGATACTATTTTTCACTTAACATATTGGCCTGTCATATATGTTAATTATTTAATGCATGTATGAGTAAATAAAACGATCCTTTCTTACATTTAAAAGGATATATAGAGAGTAATAAGTCCCTGCAATTTCCATGTTTCTGTCTATGGAGTGTGTTAGTTGGGCCCCTTGATGGAGGTTGATGCTGGCAGTTTCCCTGTGTGTTCCTCTTGAATGAGCAGCAGCAGCCTCTGAAGGCTACTCAGGATCTTTTGAGCTCAGGTTTTCTCTGGGCTCTTCTATCTTTGGGTTCACAGTGATGCCAGTGTCTATGAATGTGGGTAGGTAGTTTCATCTTTTCAGAGGGCTAAAGGCCACTTTGAATCTTGAAAAGCGTCGTCTACATTACTAAATAAGCCTTGCCCTAAGGGGGGAAAAATAGTTGCGTGCTTTTTACTGGTGAAAAGCATGATTATATTCATAGTATGACTGACTTTTTTCACTTTATGAAAGGCTTTCTTTGATTATTAAAGTCCTGATAGGAAGCAGGAGAGGTTTGATATTAGTCAAATGGTAGGTCCTGCCTCTGTGAAGCAAGCTTCAAAGTTTCTTTGTGAGTAGTGGCACTGTTAAACGCATGGTGCCTTAAGCCATTGTTCTGTGTGGCAGAATCGCAGGCCGGAGGCGCTTTTATGGTGCATGACAGGCAGCTGCTGGTGAATTGGGTGCTGAGCCTGATGAAGGAGCTCACGGTGCTTGCTTCTTAGGCTTTCACTAAAAGTGAATCACACTTTGCTTAATTTGAATTTCTTTGGGGCAAAATCACTGAAGTAAATTGTACTTTCTGCAAAACAGGTCTCCAAATGCCAGAAAGTATAGGAGACAGAAATGAATTTACTTGGTAATAACCTGTTTTTCTATAAAAATCCCCCAAAGCTCCAAAGATGGCAGAAATACCCTTCAAACTCCGTAGTCATTAACCCAGCTAACTAGGAAAGTACTGTGCTGTCACTGACCACATGATGAGTTGACAGGTAAAGTTTAATATACCAGTTCACATAATTATGAGTGCTTCAGAGCACTAACAGCTGTTTCTTATAACTTGATTTTCAGAACTATAAATTATACACTAGTTTTTAGGGAGTTTTTAGTGTGTTTTAAACTGGCGATGCACATCCCTTCCTATATGGATTTCCATTATTTCATTAGGTGCTTAATTTACATCCATTCACATGTTAAATGCCCTGTAGTGTTTCTTAAATTTATGACTGAACAAATGAACTAGGGTGCATTATAGTAAGTTGCATTAGTATTAGACGAAGTCTCTTGGGTGGAATCAACTTAGGGTAAATTGCTGTAGTGCTAGGGCAGCAACTTGGATGAAATCAGCCTCCCTGGCTGATATACTGCCTGAGTACATAACCATGAAGCTGCCAGCTCTGGGGTTCTTTCCCCTTATGCTACCAGAGGGCTAGGGAGGAAGGGAGATGAAGCGATAAAAGAGGGTCCAGGAATACACCAGAAGGGAAAGCCATAGTAACTTAGTCCTTCTTCTGGTCATAGAAGAATGTTTGGGTACCTTGCTTCCTCACTCCTCTCCTGGTGATTGACCTAAATGTCAGAGGGCATTTTCTTCAATTTTGTAAGAGCCTTATTTTTGAGAAGAAATACTGAAAATCTGAAAGAGCGACCAGGATGATGGAGATTTTGAAAGAGCGACCAGTGAGATGGTTGAAGGGCTGGGAATATTTCAAATATAAAATAAGGAATATGATCTCAGAGCTCTAGGTAACTTCCTGATCTGTTTCTGGATAAGAAAACAGAACCCTACAAGGCTTCATTGGCCCTTCCACTAGGGTGGGAGCACATTAAAGGTCCAGCATTCTAAGGTTGTGACCGTCCTAGTTTTGGGTGTTGTTTGGGGGTTTGTTGTTTGTTTGTTTGTGTGTATGCCTGGTGTGAAGAAACTGGGGAGGCCAGAGTAGAACATCAGATCCCCTGGAACTGGAGTTAGAGAGTTAGAGGAGGTTGTAAGCTGCCTGACATGGGTGCTGGGAACTGGACTTGGGTCCTCTGGAAAGTAACAAGTGTTCTGAACCAGGGCACCATCTCTCCAGCCCCAATTATTTTCAGTTGATTCATTGAACTAGATGAAAAGTTTGATTATTTTTCCCCTTGAATAATCTACTTGTCTTTGGTAGATTTTTTTTAAATGGTTATTTTGTTTGTTTTATTCGTTTTTAATTTTCATTTAAATTTAAAAGTCTGGAAATTGTTGGCCTGATGAAAACAGGGCTGTCTTTTTATTCTGGTTAGCCCACAGACTTGTTCTGTAGCCCCAGCAATAAATAGGATTACGATGTCTTGGTCTTCCCCCTCTGCCTCACGTGCTCAGAGTTCCAGAAGAGACCTCCTATCCGGTGTCTTAAGTGCTGACTAGGAAAGCAAGAGCGCGGACTTCCCTAACTTCCCTTTTTTAAAAAACACTTATTTGATTCTTTGGTGGCCGGTAGGTTAGGTTTGTTGAAGTCAGAGGACTTCTTGCTGGAGTCATTTTTCTGCCTCTACCATATAGGTTCCCGAGATTAAACTCAGGTCATCAGACATGGCACAAGCACCCTTACCCCCTGAACCACCTCCCTGCCCCAGTTTCTGGTTCTTGCCCAGGTGCATTTTTGGTTTGTGTTTGTTATTTTTTGAGACCTATTTTGTAGACCTGGCTGGCTGGAACTTGCTATGCAGACCAAGCTGACCTTGAGCTCACAGAAATCCTCTGCCTCCTAAATTCTAGGATTATAGGCTTTAGGCCATGATGCCCAGCTTGCTTTTTGTGCTTTGCTTTCCCCCTGCATTGCTGTGTTTTTCTCAGTCACAAAGTGAACGTGTATTCCAGTTGAATGAGACTTTCTCTTTGAATAAAGATAATATTATTTTACACTGCATAGTACCCAGCCATGCAAGGATTTCACTATTTAGTATGCCTTGTGGCCCAAGACACACATCACTCATGATACCAGTTCACAGTGAAGTCTGTTTGAGGGTTTGATTTGTTTGCTTGTTTATTTTTGTTCTATTGTTTGTTATTTTTGTTCGTTTTGTAGCTCTAGTTGGTCTTAAACATGTTGCACTTAGAGTCAGTCTCAGAGTACTGAGATTACAAACGCATGCCTTCACAACCTACCGCAGTGAAAGTTTTTTAAAGTGTTTGTATACTGCTGCCAATAGCAACTTTGGGTCCAGAATCCCTGACAAGACTGGAGAGATAGCTTTGTGGTTAAGAGTGCTTGCTACTCTTGCAAAGGACAGGAGTTCTTTTCCAGAACCCATAGCAAGCCGCTCACAACCCCCTGAAATGCCAGATCCAAGGGATCCAGCATCCTCTAACAGCCTCTGTGGGCACCTGCACAAATGTGGCATTAACTCACACCAGCATACACATAAAGTAAAATAGTAAAATGAAATCTTTGAAAAAAAAAAAAAAGATTAAGAGTGCTCTGGTCAGATTTTCAGCCAGGGATTCAGATTAAGAGCATAGAAAGCAGCTTGCATATCAATTTTCACCCCTTTCTGGCTCATGTAAACATCACCATCTCTAACAATTTTTTAAATATGTATTATTTTTTTATGTGTATGCATGTATTGCCTGCATGTAGGTAAGTGCACCCGTGTCATGCAGTGTCTATGGAGGTCAGAAGAGACTGTCGGATCCCCTGGAACTGGAGTTACAGACAGTTGTTAGCTGCCATGTGAGTGCTAGGATTCGAACCCGGGTCTTCTTCAAGGACAGTCAGTGTTCTGAACTGCTGAGCCATCTCTCCAGCCCCCATCTCTAACAATTTAATACCGAAATAGAAAGCAGCAAAATACTATGCAGTTCTGCAGGCACAATTCCAAAGTATAGTCTGTGGTGAACATACAGCAGTGAACATTGAAAGAAGAGGGCAGGGAGCATGGGCTCATGGGACCCCAGCTTTCCTGCATCTTTGCTTCATTAAGTTATGTTATCGTTGACTTATTTACGATGTAAACTTATACTCCGCAGAACAGTAGTGAGTAGCAGATAGTTTTTTGGTTTGGGGGATTTTTTTTTTTTTTTTTCTTGAGGCAATGAAACAAAGGGGCAGACTCAAGATTAGTTTTTAAATATTCTTATTTATCAATTGAAATATAAACACTATCTACTTTGTTCAAACAAAATTTTGTGACACTAATTTGTCTTGTATAATTGCCATAGATTCTGTTTATATACTGTATTAGATTCACCAAATTGAATGCCATAAAAAGGTTTAAATCTATTAATAATTTATATCTGACAAAGTTTTGTTTGTTGTTTGTTTTTTGAAGCAGGGTCTCCCTACAATCCAGGCTGGCCTCCATCTCACACAGATCCACCTGCCTTTGCCTTCTGAGTGCTGAGTTTAAAGGCATGCATCACCACACCAGGATCATATAATATTTTGACTGACTGACCTTTTTTTATCTCATGCCTTGGGGTTCAAACCCAGGGCCTTGCACATTCCAAGCAAGCGCTCTGCCACGGAACTATGTCCGCAGCCCAATATTTTGATCACTTTAAAAAATAGGTCTGGAACCCCATGGGCATGTTGGTGCATACCTGAAGTCCCAGCACTTGAAAGGCAGAGGGAGGCGGATCTGTGTGAGTTCAAGGCCAGCCTTGTCTACATAGTGAATTCCAGGCCAGCCGGAGACCCTGTTTCAAAAAGACTAGAAAAAAAAGGTCCTGGGCTGGAGAGATGGCTTAGCAGTTAAGAGTACTGGTTGCTCTTGTAGAGGACCAAGGTTCAGTTTCCAGCACCCACAATATGGCTAACAACCATCCATAACTCCAGTTCCACAGGAATTCAATGCCCTTTTCTGACCTCCAGTGGACATTGCACAACATGAGTGCACTTACATACATGCAGGCAATACACTCATACACATAAAATAATAAAATATTCAAAATAGCTACTAATATATATAATAAATATATTTAATATATATTTATATATCATATATAAGTATACACAAGCATATATATATACATATATATGTATACACACACACACACTTGCCAGGAATAAAGACATATAGTGTCATTTGAAATGAAAACAACTCATTTTTTATATTTCAATTTTTTTTTACTTTAGAGTAATTTCCTACCAAACATTGCCAAGAAATATGCCAAGCCACCGAGCCCAGATTGTGGCGCGCTACCCTGAAGGTTACAGAACGCTGCCGAGAAACAGCAAGGCCCGGCCTGAAAGCACGTGCAGCGCTGCCCCTTCCGGCCGTGAGAAGATGGGGCCTGCAGCCGAGGAGAAGCGGCGGTCCATGCGCGATGACACCATGTGGCAGCTCTACGAATGGCAGCAGCGGCAGTTCTACAACAAGCAGAGCACCCTCCCTCGGCACAGCTCCCTGAGCAGTCCCAAAACCATGGTGAACATTTCCGACCAGACCATGCACTCTATTCCCACCTCGCCTTCCCATGGGTCCATAGCTGCTTACCAAGGATACTCCCCTCAGCGGACATACAGGTCAGAAGTGACTTCACCAATTCAGAGAGGAGATGTAACGATAGACCGCAGGCACAGGGCTCACCACCCTAAGGTAAAATGTCTGCCAATTTGTGTCAGCTCATTACTTAATGATGTTGTATTTTCTTTCTAATATACTATTTTAATTTAAGTTAGAAGCAAGCAAATAGGAGGAAAGTAAGCAATTCTTTTATTTATTGTTTGTTCGTTTGTGGTCCTGCACTTCATGTATGCTAGGCAGCTATTTTACACTGAAGTATGTTTTTAGAGCTTTTTAAGACAGAATCTCTGTAAGTTGTCCAGGCTCCTGCCTCAGCCTCCTTAATAACTGAGGTTGTAGGTATGGACCACCACACCCAGCAAAACAGTTCTTCTGAGCAGACACCTCATGTATTCTTCTCTTGATAGCATATCTTATTTTTGTTTTATTTTTTCCCTTGTGTCGAGAATCATGTTGAGAATCAAATGCTAGGCAAGTGCTCTGTCCCCAAACTACATCCCCAGCTTGTGTCCATGTACACGTGTGTGCATGCTGGTGCACACTCCCCTAAGTAGTGTGGAAGGCAGAGGTCAGTGTCGGTGTGTTCCTCCGCTCGCTACCTTATTTTTTTTTTTTTTTTTTTTTTTTTTTCTTTTGGTCTTTTTGAGACAGGGTCTCCCTGTAGCCCTAGCTAGCCTGGAACTCCCTATGTAGACCAGGCTGGCCTCGAACTCACAGAGATCCACTGGCTGGCCAGCCAGCTTCCTATCTCTGCTTCCCAGCTCTGGGATTACAAGTGCCACCACACCTGGCTTTTTTTTGTTGTTTTTTTGTTTTTAACATGGCGACCAGGATTGGACCTATGTCTTCATTCTTACACAGCAGGCACTTGATCCATTGAACCATTCAACAGCCCCCACAGCTATTTTTTATTGGCTCTCTGTGTGCTTGCCAGTTATACCTGCCCCTTACCATATCTGCAAGTTCACTCTGTGGTTCAGCAGGATAGAAGTATTAATTTCACCTTCTCACCAGGTTGTTATGTGGGATTGAGATCACCTTATATACCCAAATTCAGTATTAGAGTCTAAAAATCTTTTTAAATATTTTATTTATTTTATGTGTATGAGTGTATTGCCTAAATGTATATAAGTGTACCTGTGTTGTGCAGTACCCACAGAGGACAGAAGAGGGTGTTGGAAACCCTAGAACTAGAGTTACAGATGGTTGTTAGCCACCATATGGGTGCTGGGAACCAAACCCTGGTCCTCTGCAAGAGCAGCCAATGCTCCTAACTGCTGAGCCATCTCTCCAACCTCAAGTCTAACAATATTTAATGGTGTATATGCATTTTAAAAATAAAATTCCACTAAAGATCATGGTTTGTGTGCTGGGGATCAATTCCAGGGCCTATGCATTCTGGGAAAGGGCTCTGTGACTGAGCTGTACTCACAGCCTCATAGATGATATTTTACTTTGTATCCTAAATTGATTACTTAGTAGATCATCTCAAGTGATCTCTGTGTTTGGTATCGATCAACTCCACATAATGCTAAAGCAGCTGTAGCCTGCTCCCTAAGGTCTGTCAGCTCCTTTTTAATTTCTTGCTTTACACTGTTTGAGATACACCTTCTTATCCTTGCCAGATTGAATGATTCAGTTGTACTAGTCCATGAAGCATTTTCTAGAAATCTCTGTAAACAGGTATTTGCTGGAAATTAATAAATCAATATGAAAGTTTCTTTTGAAGAGAGCCTCACAAAGAAAATACTCAGCCTCAAGCTGAGTAACCATTTAATAATCCCAGCATTTGAGAGAGGAGGTAGGAAGATCAAAAACTGAAGGCCAGCCTGTACTATGTAGCAGAAACCAATTTCATTTAAGACAAAATGCAAAGGAACAAGGACTTAAAAGTTCAGTTTTTGTCACTGTGCATCCAGAGGCTAAATTATAAGTAAAAATAGCAACAATGTAAGATAAATCTTATCTAGCTAATACAACTTGTTATGTTGTTTTAAATGGCTAAATTACATATGCTTGTGTGGTGTCTGATGTTATTGGCCAGAATACGTCATATGCTTCAATGCTGAGTAGGATCTGAGTGTGTTTAGCTCTCCAGTCCCCAGCCAGCGAAGTACTACCCACGAAATGCTCCACCCATGAAGTTCTCCAGCCGCCAAATTGTTCTTCTGTACTATCCTCCTGTCTTCTTCACTGAGGTAGACCAGCAATTCCAGAAGTATAGTCCATGAGACTCTGGAATCTCTATCGATCGATCGATAGGTAGACTGAATATATAAAATTTATAGAGTGAGCATTTACAATCAGTGCTTTTAATTCGTTTTATTACTGCCTTCATTAACAGTACAAAAGCCATGATGAATGGAACTTCTGACACTTAGCATAAGGCAGTGGCTTCAAGCTATACCTAGTGGTCATTGTATGCTTCCCTGTCAAACACTTAGAATGCAAAGATTACTTAGCGGCTTCACTAAATCCCCTTGATTATGAGACCCCTTCTCAAAAAAGAAAAAGAAGCAAATAAAACCGACTAGGCAGGTTGTCTCCTACTGTAATTCCAGAAGTTGGAAGGTAGAGGTTGGGCCTCAGGGGCTCAAGGTCATCCTCAGCTACATAGCAACTTTGAGGCTACCCTGGACCATGTGAGAACTTGTCTCAAAAAATAGGGTTGGGCACCTTATATGCATTTATGAAATTCTCAACAAAGTATTTAAAAAAAATAGGGTTGGGACATTTGATCCCTAGAACCTACATTGAAAAAGCTGGGCTTGTGGCACACACTTGGCTACCCCATTGCTGAGAAAGTAGAGATAGATGGATCCTTGGGGCTCACTGGCCAGGTAGACTAGCTTTATTTGGCAAGTTCCAGGACAGAGAGGTCTTTAGCATAAAAGTAAAAAAGGTGAAACAGAGACAGATGGATCTATGAGATCCACCTAGTCTACATAGCTGGTTCCTAGTCTGCTGGGAGCTACAGAGAGACCAAGTTTCAA